CACATTAATTATATATCCAAACAAAACAAGTCATCATTGTATCAAAATGATGTTAAAATTGTTCCAAAATGATCATTAAAAGTCATTTTTCAATCATTCTAATGTCATTTTGACTTTATTGTGACTTTCTGTTCTAATTGCGTATATATTATATTGTATACACAAGATATATGCTATACATACAATATTGCTGTACAATTAGTTAATAATAATATATTTTGTGGGTATATTTAATTGCAAAATATAGTGTTATAAAATAAATGTGCATTATATATGTTTAATTTTTATTTTATTTTCTCTTTCAAATGCGTCTCGTTTTTCACTGTGAGTATTAAATATCTATATAGTGTAAACGAGAACTATAGATTTCTGTATTCGCTGTGAATAATGGAATAAATTAAGATAATTTTATAAAAGTTACTTGTTAGTACGCGTATTAAATGTTCAAATGTGCAAATTAGGTTAGGACATTGCTAGAACATAAATTAGAAAGAGAGAAAAGGTTATAAACAGAGAGCAGAAGTGAGATAGAATACAGTGCCCTGATTGGTTACGCGCCTCGGCCGCGCATGCGCACTCCATTTTAGGCTTCACTAACATCAAAGGTGCCGACAGAGAGTTGCGCTACTGTATATACTGTGCTCGTACATACCGTTTACCGAAAATGTTATTCAGGTTATTTATGTGAAAGATTATTTATGTGAGTGGTTCTGTGACAAATATTAAGCAATATTAGGAAATAACTTATCAAGTGGAATTATAACAGAAAAGATAAAGGTATGTATGTACGTAGGTTAAAAATGTGTTAACCTGTACTTCATCGAACATACAAGTGTTATGAATAAAACTAAAACATGTGCGTTTTGGAAAATACGATTAACAATCGAGGATGTTTAGCTTTGTTAATTTTATTTGTAGATATTGTAATTGCAAGAAAAGAATCGAGCGTGCTTGGGTCTACTCGGAACAGACCTCGAGAAACAGAACAAACAATGCTAATGTGAACGTTGAATTAATTGATTTCTCTGATTTCAGGTGACCTCGAGCAAAGACGATGAGTAAAGTGTGCTATTTGTGCGACAGGTCGACAAAAAATGATAATTGTTCTATGCACAGGTAAATAAACCAAATGATTAACATGTAATGTATTATGTCCCATAATTTCAGATCTTTGAAGTAAATAATATGTATTTACAGATTTCCAAAAAATGAGAACCTTCGGAAGCAATGGCTGCACGCTTGCAGATTATCCATAAAGGATGATGTGCGTAACGTCTATATCTGCAGTGATCACTTTCGAAATGATGACTACAGAGACAACAGAGGATTGTTACGTACAATGTCTCTGTTAAAGCAAGGATTGGTACCTTCTATCAATATACCAAACCCATCAGTAAACATCGATGCCAACCAGGTGGAATTGCAGTCTACGGAGAATGTAAACATCTGTCTTAATGAATCATCAATGAATGTTAACGCCGATGTTGGAATAATGGAAACACAGATAGAGGAGAATACCAATCCCATCGTCAAGGAATTTGAATCAACAGCTCAGAATGTTACTGTCAATGATTCAAGTAAGACTGAGATAAATTTAAAAAATGTGCAGTTATTGTTAAAATTGTTCAAATGGAAAGTTGTTGTATTGTTTATTCGACTTTTTTTAATTTTATTGAATATTTTCATAACAAATTGAAGTTTTATTAGGTATCAAGTTAGGTGTCAAGTCTATTTGGGTAAAAATTTATTGCAGAAAATTAAAAGCTATTGACCAATAAAAAATGATTATGTATTATTTCATCTCGACATTATATTTATGGATCGGGCTAATTTTCTTCCAAATTTCTTTTGTTTACTCATAATTATATGAGTTATGTTTGAAGTTATGGTATATAAAAAATTTTCAAAACAACTTGTTTTAATGTTTACAGTACTTACTTTTCGGTAACATTGAGCCCTGTTTTGTTAATATCAGGTCAGAATGAAGCTACATTGTACACTCCAAAGAAACGTAAATGGTTTGAGCCGCGTTTCATTTCTGAAATTTTAACTCCTGATGTCTCGACGCCAAAAAGAGCAAGAAGAATAATAGCCTTCGTAAAAGAGACTGATAAGAAGAAGAGTAAAATAATAAAAAAATTGCATGAGAGAAATCGCAAGCTCTCGAAGCGCATTGCTTCTTTGAAAGAATTGATAGCACATTTAACAAAAGAAAACATGATTTCTAATAAAGCTGGAAAGACATTCATGGTATCGTATCTATCGAAATAAGAGAGATTGTAAACATTAATACGTGTGGGGTGCGATCGCTCGTATGTTTTTTGGTTTTAATATTTGTTCATAGGCTACGTTTACACCGTGCATTTAATCCACGACCTATACGATAGATGTCTTTATTTAACCTACAGGATAAACAAGGATATCTATTGTATAGGTTGCGACCTAAATGTACGGTGTAAACGTAGCTATTGACTTATGGAAACAAAATAAGGATCGTTTATTTTTGAAAGAAATATTGACTATTTTTGAGCATTTACAATTATATATATATATATATATGTATATATTTTTTTTGAAATTAATTTTCAAATTAATCTCCAAACAAATGTTCAGAAATAGCCGTCTTTAAAAAATTATTGACCCTTATATTGTCTCTTCGTGGGTGTATTAAAGCAAAATATCCCACGGTTGATCGCATTCCTCAATTTATAAATTGTACATTCAACGTGTTAAAGTACTCCTACATCACGGAAACTGTAACAGTATATGATAAAATCTGAAAGAATAAATGTATATAAAATTGTATATAATACTATATACATATACTGTATATTTTACATATTAATGGATAAAGTCTGTTACTATTTCGATATACAGTTAATGTTGTCTGACATATACAACATATATCTTGATCAGCTCATGTACAGGTAAGGTTCAATGAAAGTAATCTGCATTGGCATGAGGTGTGTGTTTAACACTGCAATGTAGCCTATTGTAAAATGGGGATATTTTTTCTTTTTGTAAGATATGATATTTTTATTGTAATAATGAATTAATTATATTTATTATATATAGAATTAAATATTGTTGAAGAACTGTAGATAAAAGAACACATTTCATTGTAAATCACGTTAATTATTTTTAACTTTTTTACTTCATATTATGGAGGGTCTACAATAGAAGTCGTATCAGTCGTAGAGTCAAAAAATTCGATTATAATTGGTCAATTTCCTACGACTTAAGACTCTACGACTGCTACGACTCCTATTGTAGACCCTCCTTTACATCCATGTCGTATTTAACAGATAATTTACAAGTAATTTATACTTAGAAAATGTACCATTTTAAAACTTTAACCCATATATGCTTTAATTGCCCTTCTATTTTTATGCAACCTGCATGCTTGCACATCCTCTGTTGGTGTGGCTCCCATTTTACATGAATTGCTTAATCAAGCTAAACCTAATCTAATCTACCTGAACATAACCATTGGCATGGAATTTAGCGAAATATATATTACGAACACAAATATTGGTATATGCTTAATTATTTGTTTTCACTTCAAAGGAATTGATGCCTGACAATCTGAAGGACATATTAGCCAGGAAGATGAAACGAAATGGCCATTACTCACCAGAACTACGGAGTTTTGCATTAATTCTGCATTTTTATTCGCCAAAAGCGTATAATTACGTACGGAAGACATGGAATAATCTTCTGCCAAACCCTTCCACGATCAGAAATTGGTACAGAGTCGTCGATGGAGCTCCGGGCTTCACAAAAGAAGCATTAGATGCTATAAGAATACGTGCTGAAGAACGTAAGAAGTCGGGGAAGCCTCCTGTTATTGTAAATTTGGTTTCGGACGACATGTCCATTCGTAAAGAACTTGTATATGATAAGAAACGATTAATTGGTGGCGTAGATCTTGGAACTCGTGGCAATGACGATGATTTCGACAATGATAATGATAATAATGAGGGTATCGAGCCAGCTAGTAATGCATTAATGTTCATGGCGGTATCTTTAAATGAACATTGGAAAGTACCAATAGGATATTTTTTATTTCGGACATTGAACAGCGATGAGCGGGCTAATTTAATAACTGAGGCACTGCGAGCTTTGCACAATGCTAAGTGTAAAGTCTATTCGACAACATTCGATGGGCTATCAGCGAATTTCACCATGTGCACTATTTTGGGTGCAAACTTCGAGTATGGGAATAATTTTAAAGGTACTTTTTCATACGCAGCACGCTGCAGCAGCAATTCGTTACTATTGGTTAAGAATTGTATGTAAGCTAGATGACGCACTTCCGGCGCAAAATACATTTTGCCGCAGTTCGTTGAAGTTGAACCGAACGAACAGCAAGCAGCAAGCGGCAAAATCGAGAAAGCGTACAATATATCCGTCGTTTCATTATGAAAATATTATTTATTGCAATAAATATTAGGAAAATAAACGAAAAATAGCTTCGGATAAGGTACGGATATATGTTTGTAAATTAGATCATTTTATACTTTACCACAAATTAAAGAGTAAAGTGTAAAGTATAAAATGATCTAATTTACAAACATTCGTACCTTATCCGAAGCTATTCTTCGTTTATTTTCCTAATATTTATTGCAATAAATAATATTGCCTCGATTTTGCCGCTTGCTGCTTGCTGTTCGTTCGGTTCAACTTCAACGAACTGCGGTAAAATGTATTTGCGCCGGAAGTACGTCATCTAGCTTACATAAAATTCTTAACCAATAGTAACGAATTGCTGCTGCAGCGTGCTGCGCATGAAAAAGTACCTTAAGCCGTATTTTATAAATCAAGCAACAGGCGAAAAATGTTTTATATTTATCGATCTTTGTCACGCAATTAAATTAGTACGCAATACATTTGGCGATTTGAAAGTTTTAACAACAACAACAAACGAACAAATTAAGTGGGAATATATTGTTAAACTGCACGCGTTTCAAACTGAAAATGGCCTAACAGCAGCTAATAAATTAAAAAAGAAACATATTGACTTCAAGGACAATCGTATGAATGTGAAATTGGCGGTGCAGACGCTTTACACGCTAGCAAAAGCGTTTACAGTTCTCTTAATTTTATGACAAATATTGCAGATGATACTGTAAGACGTGAATTTGAAGGTTGCTTGCCTACTGCCAACTTCTGCTTGCAGTTTAATAATATGACCGACGTGTTAAATTGTAAGAATGTATTTTCGAAAGATAAATATGATCAGCCTTTGACCGAAGACAGCTATGCGGAATTAAAAGCTTCTACAGAAGAATTTGAAGCATATATTAATTCACTGTGCGATAAAACAGGCAAACCGATTCTTACATGTGCGAGAAAAACAGGTTTTCTAGGAATAATTATATGTATTAGAAATATGTTTGACTTGTTCGACGAAATCAAGTTATTGGGGCAAAAGTATCTTCTAACGTATAAATTGTCACAAGATTTTCTAGAAACGTTTTTCGGCGCGATAAGAGCTCGTGGAGGATTCAATAACAATCCTAATGCTGTGCAAATCAAAAGCGCGTATAAGCGATTGCTGATTAGGCATCAACTTAAAGAATTTGAGACCGGAAATTGTCTTTTCGATGGCATAGATATACTTCATGTCACTTCAAACGTCAAGAATGTTAAATGTCCGATTGGTGACGTAGATTGTTTACACGAATCCATTGACACCGATGATCATGATTATGTTAAAAGGTATTACGAATTGTCACCATACGTAGACAATATAGTCCTTTATATTGCGGGCTACGTTGCTAAGAAGGTTAGTAGTACTGTAGAATGTGACACATGTCGGGCACAATTGGTGGGCAAAGAAATGCCATTTTTGTCGGCGATTAAAAATAGGGGACCTTTATATATTGCGCCGTCTGAAGATGTCTGCCATCTTTGCCGCATATGCGAAAAAATTATTCGTGAGAACTTGGTCAATCTCACAAAAAACAATTTTAAACGTAATCTAATTAATCAAGCGTTGAGAAGAATAGGCATTCCTTTTTGCAATAATGTGATGGATAATCATATTTTATTTCAGGATGTAATGGACAACCACCGAATCCAACTTTGCCAGTATGTTATTGACATGTACATAAATATTAGATTATTTCATGAAGCGAGGAAGATATTCGACAATAAAAAATATGTACGTAATAAGTTTACGAAACTAGTATTATTTCACAACACGTAGTGCCTACAAAATATGTATATGTTAAATGAAAATACATTGTTTATTTACATGAACAAATAATGCATTCGTTCTTTTGTAGCATATATTTATTTAGGACACAGCAATACTTAGTTTTCGCGAAAGTAATCGAATCACATCACAAAACAAAGTTACATAACAAATTTGAGCCATTTTCATCGAATAGTATAAAACTCTTATGAGTAAAATAGTTATAAACAAATAAAATATTTAACAATTTCAAAATAGTCCTTGCGCATCAGTTTTTTTCGATAAGGTTTGAATCTGCTTCTTTGCACACCGAGTGGTGACATATGGTGGTGATATGAAAATGCATCGTTTTGAATAATCTTTCCATCGATGAATAAAAAATTAAACATTTAGGATATTATTTTATATATATTACTTAATTATTTATAAAGAGAATGTTTAATTTTTCATTCATCGATAAAAGCATCCGAAACGATGCACACTCTTTCGTCTATTACATATATTATATATACAGGGTCATCGAAAAGTATCGGACCCCCCTAATATCTTCAGTTAGAATGCATTTTGGAGAAAAATGTTCAATAGCAAAGTTGTATGGTTTCAAGCGAAGAATAAGATGATGACCTTGACTTTGATCTTGACCATGTCCTTTAAGGTCATTTCAAGGTCAACCTTATTTTTTTAAATGGAACAATATCTTTATCATTAAACCAAGAATATATAGCGCGCTGAAAGAGGAGGCGGAGCAACGACTCGTTACCGCATGCGCAGAACACTGCAGTACATCAGAAGAAAGAGACGTGAATATGTCGCCACCGTGATATTGGCACCACTTCAACTCATTGTCAAGATAAGGCACTAGCAATATAGGAGTATTACATATACATATATGACTAAAGTGTAGCCATGTCTACCAACTACAGCCGTGCAAACAGCTGTAACGGTCGGCAAAGAAACAACACGTGTTTTCCTTTGCTCCGCATTTTGAAGACTATTTTTAATTGTTGTGCATTAACTATTTTTAATTGTTGTGCATGAACTACCGCCACCATGAGATAAATATTGAATATTTCTTCATACAAAAATTCAGAAATACACTTTAAAAAAAAAACTCTTTTACATGTAAAAACTTACAATTAATTATATTTATTCAGAACCGAGAAAAAAAATCTCAAAAATCTGCTTTTTTTCGGCCTTGTTACCTA